GGGGCCTTCGGTGGAGCTCCTAAGCGTGTGAGGGGTGTGCCGAAATGGGTGGGGGACGCATGCGGCCGCGGGCACTGGGGCCTTCGGTGGAGCTCCCTATGGAGCCACGAAACGTGTGAGGGGTGTGCCGAAATGGGTGTGGGGGACGCATGCGGCCGCGGGCACTGGGGCCTTCGGTGGAGCTCCCTATGGAGCCACGAAACGTGTGAGGGGTGTGCCGAAATGGGTGTGGGGGACGCATGCGGCCGCGGGCACTGGGGCCTTCGGTGGAGCTCCCTATGGAGCCAAGAAGCGTGTGAGGGGTGTGCCGATGATGATGATGATGATGATGATGATGATGATGATGATGATGATGATGATGATGATGATGATGATGATGATGATGATGATGATGATGATGATGATGATGATGATGATGATGATGGGAGGGGGAAGGAGGCAGCGGGAGGAAGGAAGGAGAACGCGGGGCACCGTCTCTTCAAAACGAGGACCCAACACCACAGGATGGTTGGGAATAAAACATTGGGTGAGGATGCGCCGAAGATCTCTGAGGTCTGGTGGCTCTGGAGGATGTCTCGGGCGCCGCGGCCTTCTCAGAGCGTTCTGGAACGCTCTGGGAGCGTTCCGGAACGGAGCGGATTATCCTCGTCGTGGCCCCGCCCGGCCATTCCTTCTCCTTGAACATCACTCCTCCCTCTCGCACCACGGGACGTGTCCGCAGGCTGGGCCGGGTCTTTCGCCCGACTTCCTCGCCAGTTCTGATCCTGAAGCTGGAAACTGGCAACAGTTCCAAGGATGGATCCCGAGTGGTTTTCATAATGAGGCTCTCGCCTGCGCGCCGCGCACACTCGACTCAACAAACATGCGACTGCTTCAAGGACTGGGGCCGGTTCGTTTTCAAATAGGGCTCTCGTCTCAGCGCCGCGTGCGCTCGGCTTTGAAAAAAAGGCTACAACTCGAAAGATGGAGGCCGGCTCCTTTTCAAAATGTAGCTCTCGCCTTAGCGCCGCGCGCACTCGTCTGAAAACATGGCCATGGCTTCAAGGTTGGAGGCCGGCTTCTTTTCGAAATGTGGTTCTCGCTTTAGCGCCGCGCACACCCATACGACCCAACCCTCACCATCCTACGCAACAAGCGTAATTCAGTGCACATCTATCCGACCCAACCCTCACCATCCTACGCGTTGCAAGTCTGTTCGTATCCATACGACACAATCATCACCAGTCGCACAGAGATCTACGATTCGGCGCACATCGATACAACCTAACCATCAGAATTCGATGCGACATACATATATATATACATTATTCGGTGCACATCCATCCGACCCAACCCTCACCATCCTATGCCTTAAGCAACACCACGATTCGGTGTACATCCACGCGACCCAACCCTCATCATCCTATCCAGAAAAACAAGCATGTGCACATCAACCCGGTCCAGCCTTTACCACCTGATGCGAAAACCAACAGCATTCGGTGCGCATGTGCGGTCATTCAGCATCAGCCCCCCCCCTGGCCCCGCAGCGCTCCTGGGCATATGGGGCAGGCACGAACGAATAAAAACCTGGGGGGAGCAACGCGCAACGCACGCATCCAAGGGCGCCCATGGCCCATGCCCTCGGCGAGGCTCCCGGGCGAATGCGTGCAATGCCCTCCGCACGCACGCGCACCTGGCCGACCCTCGCACGTGCGCGGCGAGAGGACCCCGCGGCCCACGCCGCCCCCTCGGGCGCGGCCTCACCGACTCCTCGCAAACCGGCCCCCTCCGTGACGCCACCCTCGCCTTTCGGGCTTCCCTCTGGCCGCATGCATACCATGCGTCTTGGGGCGAGGCGAGGGGGACGTCATGGAAGGGGATGGTTTGCTTGGGGTCGGTGAGGCCGCCCCTGACCCCCCCACCCCCCTCCCAACTTCCCTTGTGCCTCGTGACGCGTCCTCGTTCCTGGCCGACCGCGCACCCGGCCGGGCTCGGTCCCGGCCGCATTCCTGGCAAGCGAGCCGGCTCCCTGGTCGCCGTGGCCCCGGCCCGGCAGCTCCTCCCACCGGCTTCGCCCCCCGACCTTTGGCGCACGGCAGAGCTGCATCCGCGCCGCATACGGTGCCGGACTTGGGCTCGGACGAGCCGCGTTCCATGGCCCCCAGAGGGACAACTTATGAACAGATGGCTGCTGCCATGGTGCTCTCGACGTGAAGAAATCACCGAAGCGCTAGTTTTCTTGTGAAGTGCTATAAGAACACCTTCCTGTGATCAAGCGTATTATCAGGCAAATTGTTTGGAGCGTCGTGCCGTCTTCTCCTGCTCCATTCTCCTCTGGTGTTTCTTGTTCGTCGCCCACCTCCTCTGCCTTCTTTTCGTCGTCGTCCACCTCCTCCTTCTCCTGCCTTCCTCCTGCTCCTCTCCTCCTCCTCCTCCTCCTTCTTCTCCTCCTCCTCCTCTTTCTCCTCCTCACCTTCCTACTCATCCTACTCTTCGTTCTCCTCCTCCTCCTCCTCCTCCTCTTCCTCCTCCTCGCCTCCTGCCTATTCCTCCCGCTCCTGCCGCTCCGCCTCCTGCTCTCCCCCCTCCTCCGCCTACTCGTCCGCTTGCTGTCGCACCTCCTGGCCTTTTCTGTACCCCCTCCTCCCCTCGGGGGCGCCCTCCTGGTGCCGCCTCGCTCGGCGGCGGAAATCCGCGATCTCCCATGGAAACGGGACCCGTCGCTAATCCACGCCCCCTTGATCCATGTTTGCGATTGCCTGATCCTCATCCTCCTTCACCGTGGAGGCTGTCGGAACCACTGCTAGCGGCGCGGGCAAGGGGGTAGGGGGGGAGGGGGGAAGGCTTCTTAGAAGGCGGCTGCTTCTCAGAAGGCGCGGGCCTTCCATCTGCAGGCGAGGCCTGGGCCTTCTAAGGAGCAGGCGTGCTTCTAAGACGCCTTCCCCCCTCCAACTCCCCCCCTCTGCGCGCGGCCGACACTGGAGGCACTGGCAAGTCCCAGGAGGCACCCCATCAGACGAAGCCAGGACGAGGACAAAATCGGGTGAGGATAATACGAGAACCTCTGAGATCCAACGGTTCTGGAAGATGTCTCGGGCGCCGCGGCCTTCTCAGAGCGCTCCGGAACGCTCCGAGAGCGTTCCGGAACGCTCTTTGAGCAAGGACCGACCGTTCCGGCATTCCTGTAGGCCTACCACGACATGTTCGTAGAACACAAACATGTTCTAATAACAAATGCAAAGTTCTTAGACAAGAAGCCCGATGCGTAAAAACAGGACAGGCCCCTCCAGAAATGTCCTAAGAGTATCTCGTGGAAGCTACAGCAGGTTCTCGGAACATTGCTTGGCAGGCCTATGGGCACGCCAGGACGCTTCGCCACTGCTCGAGCTCTGGAGGGGGCTTCTCCCCGAGTCTCGAGCGGCTCTCCCCCGAGGTGGGGCTCCTGCCTGCGCCCGCCGTGCCGCTGCGGCGGGTGCACGTCGTCGCCGCGACGCCCGGCGGTGGTTTTTCTGGCGCCGCGTGGATCGCTCGGCCTTGAACGGTCTCCTCCTCCTCCTCCTCGTCCTCGTCCTCGTCCTCCTCCTCCTCCTCCTCGTCGTCGTCCTCCTCCTCCTCCTCCTCGTCCTCCTCGTCCTCCTCGTCCTCCTCCTCCTCCTCCTCCTCCTCCTCCTCCTCCTCCTCCTCCTCCTCCTCCTCCTCCCCGTCCTGCCCCGTCCGATCCCAGGAGGCCCCGGCTGGCCGGACGAATCTCCACGGGCGGCCCGAGGAGCACGCCAGGGCCAAAGACGGGCGCGAGCGCCGATGTGTACAGATTACGCCGCAGCACGACGCCGTCATCGCGTGTCGTCGCCGACTCGGGGGGGGGGGGCGTTGGGTCGGGCGTGTCCTCCTGCAGGCGGGTTTTGGACGGAAAAATGGAACACAGCCCAAACATGCGCAAAACATGCCCAAAAGAATTGAGAACATCGTCCCCGGAGTATGTCTTGACTATTTTTGAACAGTCCTGGGACAGGCCCGACTTAAGGGGCTCGTCGCCAGCATCGTCAGCATCACACCCATCGCATTTGCCAGCAGTCGGCTCTTCCCCCTCCTCCGCCCCCCAACCGCCTCAGTTCTCGGCGGCGAGCCCAGGGGGGAAGTGAGAAAGAGAAGGCCTTCTCAGAAGGCTCGGAAGTCCCCCGGCCTTCTGAGAAGTGTTCTAAGCCTTCCCAGAAGAGAGACACAGCAAACCTCTCAGAAGGTACGAATGCTTCTGAGAAGTCCCGCCGCCTTCTGGGAGGGCCTTCTCCTTCCCGCTTCCCTCCTCGCGCGCCGCCGATGATCACCCGAGGGGTGGTCGTACCCATCGGTCGGAAGAAGCAGGTAGAAGCATTAAGTACGAGGGCCCCGCCCAGAGGGGGCATTTTGGCGACTCCGACCATGTCATCGTCAGCGTGGGGTTGACGTGGGATTTCTTTGCCGCGATGGCCGCAGCCGGCGCCGAGGCGGCGCAGGCCACCAGCCTGGAGGGCGCTGCGCCGCAGAAGATGGCGCAGGCGCAGATCGCAGCAGGCGAGCGGCAGGGCTGCCTGCCGCCCGCCAGGCCCGGTGTTCCCCCGTCGGGACGCTGGGTGCAGGTGTGGGTACCAGACGGCTGGGCCGTGTGGCTCGGTCCTGGTGTCGCGGGCTGCCCTACCGCCCCCATCCATGTGGCAGGCGCTGGAGGCGGACGCGACGGTCCAGATCACGACGATTCCGACCATCGTGAACTACACGACGAAGCAGGTGGTGTCCCAGCCGCCAGTCGGGCGATGGAGCCCATCGCAGCCTCCCCCGCCGCTGGCGCGGGAGTCAGCGCTCTCGATGCGCATGGACGCGCAGATGGAGCGGAGGCGTTGCGTGGATGCGGCGGCGCCGCGCAGTAGCCGACGATGGCCCCCGAGCCGCTAGATGGTGGCAGCCTGCCGCATCTGCCGCCAGTGCCTGACTTCCCGAAGCTCGCCGTGATGGCCAAAGGCGCTTCTCCTAGCAACGGAGCTGGGGCACACGACGCTGAAGCGGGCATGGTGTCCAGCACGGCCTTTGGCCCTAGCACCGTGGTCGTCAACGAGGTCATCTTCGGCACCGCCGCGGACGCCCTAGCCAAGCTCATCGATGGCATGCCAGTGCATCTACCCTTATTCTTGCGTGCCGCAAATGAGTTGGACATGGAGTGCGACAGTGATCCGCTGATCGTGCAGGTGACCGACGCTGCGAAGGCAGCGGACCTGAAGAGGTTCGCGATAGGAACCCTTCGCCAGGCGCAGATCGACGCTGACCACTCCAGCATCGTTTTCGGCGCAGTCGGATCCGCCGGCGTTTCGGCCGTCAAGGCTGCCAAGAAGACGCCCCTTGTCAGCATGCTTGCCGGATTGGAGCCAGACGATCTCCCCATGCTTTCAGTCCGCGTGACGTGATACCATTTTGGGAAGAACTGATTTTCTCGAGCACGTCTTGTTTTGTATGTCTGCGCTGGAGGCGCTTCGCCTTGGCACATGACTCCGAGCTGTAGTGGAAGGGAGTTTTAGGCGCTTCGCCTGAATATCTCTGCACGGTTTACAACGGTGTCTGCTTCTGCCTTAGGGGCCGACTCGGCGTGTGAATGCATGCAGTTGCAGACGTGTGTATGCTTCGTAGTGCATGTTGTGCGCATGCTAATTAGCTAATCGCCCATCTCGGCGCCCCAACGCCGTTGCGACACTTTTGGGGGGTGGACTTTGTCGCAGAAATTGTCCGTCCTCCTGCAAGTCGGCGTGCTGGATTTTGCGACGTGTTGCAACGGGCTCGCATGTCGTCTATGCTGTCCGTGTAGTGCTCACTCCCGGCAGCAATCCATAAAAGGTCGATGCCCACCTTTTGCCTCTCAGTGGGGATTTTTACTGTCAATCTTGAGACGCCTCGCGCAACCATGGAACAACAAAAAAACATGCTGCCCCCCCCCCCCCCCCAGGGGCCCCAACCCGTCCAGATCCACCGCCCGTGGATGTCCAAGAAGATCGACCCCACAGGCGGTGGTGATGGATTAGTCTCCGCCTCGGACCCCTGGCCGTCGCGGGGCCCTCAAAGCAGCCCCCCGCGCGAGCTGGCCACGTGAGGACAGTCGCGCGGTCATGCCGTCAAGGCCGGGCCGAGGCAGCCTCGGCGCCCTGCCCTCCCCGCGCGGCGCCCGCGGGCCGCGGGGGGCGGGCGGGGGGGGAGGGGGCAAAGGGAAGGAAGGCGGGGGGGGGGGGAGGGGAGGACCTTTGCGGCTGGGTCACCTTTGCGGCGGACCAATCCTCGGTGTGCTCACGTGCCTGGTACCTCGCTGCTGTCAACATGGCTGCCATCAGTATTTTTCAACATGGTATCTACGGCCCCGAAACGCACCGACCTTCTTCGGGGAGGGGACGATCGTGCCACCCAGGTCGGGCGGCGGCGCGCCAGGGTAAGAAAGCAGAGGGGGCCGGCTTTCACACAGAGGGCGGCGGGGCTTCTCAGAAAGCCCTCGCGCCTCCCGACCGAGATGCAGGGGAGTGCTGCCCGCGACCGGCGAATTGCACAGACGCTATGTTCGGGGGCGGCCCCCCACTGTGCGGAGCGATCTGGCATCCCCTGGCCGCCCTGTCGGGCCCTCAAAGAAGCTCCATATGCGGGGCCCGACGAATGACCTCGAGCTTGAAACATGGACGCGCTCCACGGGACACGCCTGAAACAAGTGAGGACGCGTCTCGAACAGTGACGACACGCTTGAAAAATGGACGCGCGTTTGAAAAGGGACGACACCTTTGAAGAAAGGCCCCGGGACAACGCCAACCGTTGTTGTAAGATTTGGCCTCCCTGGCCGTTCCGCCAGGCACTGCAAGAAGCCTCGCGTTTGCAAATGGACGCGCTTCCGTAGAAAAGGCCCTGGGACAGCGCCAACCGTTGCTATAAGATTGGGCCTCCCCTGGCCGTTCCGCCGGGCCGTGCAAGAAACCTCACGTTTGATTATCCCGGCAAAGCAACCTAACAGCGATGTGTATAAGCATATCTGGAAGCATTCACCTTAAGATTCAGGTGAGAATCCAGTTGTAGAATTCTGCTGTTCTCGCAGTCGCAGTCGCATTCGCAATGACAGTCGCAGTGGCAACGGCCTTAGGATCCAATGGAACCCTAAGGATTCCTAGGGATTCCTAAGGCATCCTTAGGCATCCTTAGGAATCCATAGGAATCCTTAGGAAACCCTACGAATCCTTAGGAATCCTGATTCCTAGGGATTCCTAAGGATTCCTAGGGAATCCCAAGGATTCCTGAGGATGCTTAACTATGCCTACGGATTCCTAAGGATGCCTACGGATTCCTAAGGATTCCTAGGGATTCCTAAGGATTCCTCTAGATTCCTACGGATGCCTGAGCCTGCCTCAGTTTCAGCCTCAGCCTCAGCCTGCCTCGGCTTGCCTCAGCCTCAGCCTCAGCCTGCCTCGGCCTCAGCCTGCCTCAGCCTCAGCCTCAGCCTGCCTCAGCCTCAGCCTGCCTCAGCCTCAGCCTTCCCTCAGACTCAGCCTCAGCCTCAGCCTCGGCTTGCCTCAGCCTCAGCCTCAGCCTGCCTCGGCCTCAGCCTGCTTCGGCCTCAGCCTGCCTCAGCCTCCCCTCCTCCCCCCCCCCATTCAGCCTCACCTTGTCTTAGCTTCGGCCTGCCTCGGCCTCATCCACAGCCTCAGCCTCAGTCTCAGCCTCAGCCTGTCTCGGCCTGAGCCTGCCTCGGCCTCAGCCTCAGCCTGCCTCAGCCTCAGCCTCAGCCTCAGCCTCAGCCTCAGCCTCAGCCTCAGCCTCAGCCTCAGCCTGCCTCAGCCTCAGCCTCAGCCTCAGCCTGCCTCAGCCTCAGCCTGCCTCAGCCTCAGCCTCAGCCTGCCTTCAGCCTCAGCCTCAGTCTGCCTTCAGCCTCGGCCTCAGCCTCAGCCTGCCTCAGCCTCAGCCTGCATCAGCCTCAGCCTCAGCCTCAGCCTGCCTCAGCATCAGCCTGCCTCAGCCTCAGCCTCAGCCTGCCTCAGCCTCAGCCTCAGCCTCAGCCTGCTCAGCCTCAGCCTCAGCCTTGCCTCAGCCTCAGCAGCCTCAGCTCAGCCTGCCTCGGCCTCAGCCTGCTCAGCCTCAGCCTCAGCCTGCCTCAGCCTCAGCCTGCCTCAGCCTCAGCCTCAGCCTCAGCCTGCCTCGGCGTGCCTCAGCCTCAGCCTCAGCCTGCCTCGGCCTCAGCCTGCCTCAGCTCGGGCATTCAAAATATGGCACAGGACTAACGTTCTGGGAACACGAAGATCACGAAGTGGCCCACAATTGGCTCCGGGCAATCAAAATCTGGTACAGGACTGGTGTTCTGGGAGCACGAAGAACACGAAGTGGCCTACAGCTGGCTCCGGGCAATCAAAATGTGGCCTGGGAGTGATGTTCTGGGAACACGAAGAACACGAAGTGGCCTACAGCTGGCTCCGGGCAGTCAAAATGTGGCCTGGGAGTGATGTTCTGGGAACACGAAGAACACGAAGTGGCCTACAGCTGGCTCCGGGCATTCAAAATGTGGCCTGGGAATGGTGTTCTGGGAAGACGAAGAACACGAAATGGCCTACAGTCGGCTCCAGGCATTCAAAATGTGGCCTGGGAATTGTGTTGTGGGAACACGACGAGTAGGAATCCATAGGAAACTATACGAATCTATAGGAATCCTGGGGAATGCCCGGGTTCCCCGGCTTCTCCCGGCACCCGCCCAGACCCCCCTGGGGAGTCAAAATGCTCTCTTTTGAGCCCACTAGAAACCTATCAGTCTTCGCTGTTAGGTAAAAATGGACGCGCTTCCGTAGAAAAGGCCCGGGGCCAGCGCCAACCGTTGCTGTAAGATTGGGCCTCCCTGGCCGTTCCGCCGGGCCCTGCAAGAAACCCCACGTTTGAAAAAGGACCCGTTTCCCTAGAGAGGCCCTGGGCCAGCGCTAACCGTTGCTGTAAGATTGGGCCTCCCCTGGCCGTTCCGCCGGGCCCTCGAAGGAACCTTACGCGAAGGCCCAAAACTTAGGTCGGGCATGTCCTCCTACAGGCGGCCTTTCGACGAAAGACCAAAAATAGTCCAGACATGCTCAAGAATTGTCAAGAATGGTCGAAAAATCGTCTCCCGACTATTTTCAGACTATTTTTGAAGATTCCCCCCTTGTAGAGGGACATGCCCGACGTAACCCCAAACTGGCAGACCTAGAGGTTGACACCAACACCAATATCGGCGGTGTGCCTCCAGCAAGGGAAGAATATCCCGATCTCGGCGATGGTGGTAATTTTCAGGCTTCCAAGGTGACCGGAATATTACCACCAACGCCGAAATCTACGATCATCTTCCCCCTGTGGAGGCAAGCCCTTGTGCTGGTGTTGGTGCCCATTTCCAGGCCTCCAACAAACTGCAAACCGTTTCAAGGACGGGCGGTTTTCCCGTTGCTGGGCCCGGGGGCCGGACCCCCGCGCTGCTGTGCGATTTGGCCAGCCTGCCCTGGCCGCCCAGCCGCGACCCCTCAGAGAGGCCACGCGGGGCCTGAAATGGCATACGTCAGGTTCGTGTCGTGCCGACTTCGGCGCTGGCTTTTGACACCGCGGGATCGTTCAACCTTGAACGATCGGCCGTTTCCGAAACGTCCAAATCTTTCCACATCGAGCGATTCTGGGTCGCCCGCGGCGACACGACACGAACCTTTGGTTCGCCGAGCAGAGAAGCGAGGATACCGGATGCCATATGGCCGATCTCAGAAACCCTGTGCCCAAAAACTGTTTCATCTCTTGGGGGCGAATTGTTTTCTTCCACCACCTTCCGCCGGCTTCCGCCGGCGGAGGCGGCCTCGTTTTGCTTCCGCCGACCTTCCGCCGCCTTTCGCCTCGAAAAAGATAACATCCCTTACTACCCTCGAAAAGGGAAGCCCTTTTTGGAACGCCTCATATGCGAGCCCCGCCCGCTCGGGTAGCACCTGTCATCGCGAGCGAGAGGTTGGATGTCAGGCGCGGTGCGAGAGGCAGGTCGCGGAACCGCGCAACATGTGTCCGCCTGGGTGCGATGTAGGCCTTGTGTGTTCAGCTTAGCTTGCCTAGCTGGTTGTACGGGCTGGAATCATAGGCGGGGGCCAGGTGTGGAGGGAGCGCACCGGACTTGCCTCCTTCCTCCTGCTCCTGATGCCTTCCTCCTCCTCCTCCTCTTCCTCCTGCTTCTCCTCCTCCTCCTCCTTCTCCTCCTCCTCCTCCTCTTCATCCTCCTCCTCCCCTCCTCGTCCTCGTCCTTTAATCGGAGGTGAGGGGGTGAGATCGAAGTGGAACGGAGAGCCCCCCTACCGGGAAATCGATTTCGGTTTCGTGTTCGTGCGTGCCGTGCGTGCGGGCGAGGCGAAGCTGCGTGGGCGGGCGAGAGGAAAGTCTCCTGTGGCTGAGGCGCGGCCGGACCAAATGATTCTCCACCGGGCGGCCGGTGGCGCGCGGTGTCCCGGTGGTGTCCTCTGTGGCTGAGGCGCGGCCGGACCAAATGATTCTCCACCGGGCGGCCGGGGCGGTGTCCCGCCGGTGTCCCGCCGGTGTCCCGTCGGTGTCCCGTCGGTGTCCCGATGATGATGATGATGATGATGATGATGATGATGATGATGATGATGATGATGATGATGATGATGATGGTAATGATGATGATGTTGATGATGGCGATGATGATGATGATGATGATGATGATGATGATGATGATGATGATGATGATGATGTTGATGATATTGATGTTGATGATGATGATGACGTCGATTGCGAGATCGATTGTGATATCGGTAGTGAGACCGAATGTGAGATCGATTGTGAGATCGATAGTGAGATCGATTGTGAGATCGATAGTCAGATCGATTGTGAGATGATGATGGTGATGATGGTGATGATGGTGATGGTGATGATGATGATGGATGATGATGATGATGACGTTGATGATGTTGATGAAGATGGTGTCCCGATGACGAGGATGTTGATGATGATGTTGATGATGGTGATGATGATGATGATTGATGGTGTCCCGATGATGATGATGATGATGATGATGATGATGATGATGATGATGATGATGATGATGATGATGATGATGATGATGATGATGATGATGTCGATGATGATGATGATGGTGTCGATGTGAGACCGAATGTGAGACCGAATGTGAGACCGAATGTGAGATCGATAGCGAGATCGATTGAGTGAGACGTTGGTTCCCCCTCCCCCCTCACCTCCTTATCACCCGCAGGGTGGTCGTATATGTATATACAAGTGCCCCTTTCCAATCGCGCAAATCACGATGGTGTCCTTCAAGGGGGTTCCAGGTCCGCTGTGTCACCCGTCGGCGGGCTGAGACAAAAACAGCGCCACGGGAAGGAACGCGTGGCGCCCCCTGGCTTGTCCCTCCCCCCTTTTCCCTCCCCCCCCTCCGCTGTCCTGTTTCCCGCCTCATCCGTGCTCTATGCTCCGCTCACTCTACCCTTCCTCTTCCTTCCTCCCTCCTTCTCCTCCTCCTCCTTCTCCTCCTCCTCCTCCTCCTCTTCCTCCTCCTCCCCTCCTCCCACCCTGTGCCCGCGAGTTCCAGGGCGCCGTGAGCAGAGCACCCGAGGCGCCGGCCGCCGCATGCCAAGACCCGTCGCAGTTCCCTGTTGGGAGGAAAGAGGGGGGATGAGGGGGATATGAGTCAATGCACCGGCCTTGCAGACGTGCTGCAGCGAATTTCTGCGTGGATTTTTGCCCGAAACGGCGAGCGAAAAACGAAGTGAATTTCACGTGGATTTTTGTTTGGTCTTCATTCCTGGCCAAAAAATCCGCACGAAATTCACCTCGAAATCCGGAACGAAATTCTCCAGGACACCCTGGGCCCACCCTATCGTGTCCCAGACGAAATCCGCTCTGCGATGTTGGCGCCCGTCGCAGTTCCCTGTTGGGAGGAGGAGGAGGAGGAGGAGGAGGAGGAGGAGGAGGAGGAGGACGATGAGGCGGAGGAGGACGTAGGGGGGAGGAAGGAAGACCCGTCTTCTGAGAGGAATGGGGGGGTGGATGAGGGGGATGTGAGGGGGCAGGGACCCGAGCGGACCTAAGATGCACCAGCGATGCTGCAAGACGGCCGCCCGTCCCAAGTCCCTTCTGGAGAGACGAGCGGCCCACGGTCCTGCAACGCAGGCGAGCCCAATTTTGAGAAGGAGCCGTCATCCACGCCTCCAGCTAGAAGGGCGACGACGAAGCAACATCATCAACTACAGGAAGACACTTCAGACTACAACGCCGCTTTGAAAACGAGCCGCCCTGACTCCGTTTACACTTTCTCCAAATCCACACATGTGGTGGCAATACAACCTAAGGTGGTCTCAAACGGAAGCCCCGATTTGAACAGGAGACGCCCTCCATCCATGTAGTTGTTGCATACTTTACAAGTTCTGGTTATCAAGTTGAACAGTTCTCGCCGCGCCTCCTCCTCCTCCTCCTCCTCCCCCTCCCCCTCCTCCCTCCTCCTCCTGAACCTCCTCCTCCTCGGCCCCCTCCCTCCCTCCTTCTACCTCCCCTTCGTTTCGATCCTCCTTCGCGCGCTCCGCCTCCTCATCGTCCTGCTCCCGCCTCCTCCTCGGCGCCTCACGTCCTCCGCTCTCCTGCTTCTGCCTCCTCCTCCTCGTGCACGCACCTTTCCCTCCCACTCCTCGCTCGGACCCCCGAACCGAGGGCGCCACGTTCTCGGCCGTGGCCAGACATGCTCCTGGCCTCAGGCGCTCCCGGCATCAAGGGCAAACGGGGGCCAGTGGGGAGGGTGATCCCCCCCCTGTGGACTCCCCCCCTGAGCGGCGGGCGTCGCGCGGTTCAAAGGGGCCCATCGGCCAGCGGCGAGCGGGGGGGTGAAGTGAGAAAGAGAAAGCCTTCTCAGAAGGCTCTGAAGTCCCCCGTCCTTCCGAGAAGTTTGCTAAGCCTCCCCCGAAGACGAACCACAACTTCTCGGAATGCGCGAGGGCTTCTGGGAAGCCCCGCCCGCCCTCTGGCAAGGCCTTCTTCTTCTCGTTTCCCGCTCCCTCGCTCGCCGCCAGTGGCCCAGTGGCCCGACAGATATCGCGGGCAAAAAAAAACACCCTGCAGGCCAGGAGCACTGAAGGCCATAGACACAACTAACAGGATTCCCCACATTTTCACATATCTTCTGGGTGTTCGCCTTCCCACCACTTCCCATATTTTTTCCTGGGAGTCGACGATTCATTGTGTCTGTTCCTTTCCCTCCTGACAGGAGCATATCTGCAAGCCAGGAACATATCTGCAGGCCAGAAGCATATCTGCACCCCTCCTGCCTGGGGGGGGCCACGTCGCCCGTCGAGGGGGCCGCTGGCTGCGTCGCCTGTCCGCGACCTCGACGCGGCTTTGCGGGACCACTGCGCACCTCATCAGGTAGATGCCAGTAGTTCAATACATCACACGACAATCACCATGCTGGAACACCGCACTGTCAGATCCGACCTTGCCCGCCCGCCCGCCCGACCCCAGCGCGCACGCGGGCGCGACGATGCTCCCCTCTTCCTTCCGCGCGATGCCGATGATAAGCCGTGGTCAAGAGGCTGGCCGCCATCTGGGCGCGTTCTCTCCCAACCACCCAGGGCGCTCTCAGATGGGTTAAGGCTCGATTGCAGGGCAGGACAACTGTCCCGTGGATGGCCTGCCTAGAGCAGGGGTAGGAAGGAGGTGAAGTAAGCAATGGTCTGTCTGCCGAAGTTTGAGCCGAAGAGGCCATGTATACAACACCATCATTTTCCTACAGAGTTCGACTCCTGGAAGCCGTCGTTGGTCCACAGGAAAAGGGACGGTAGCAATTTCGGGCCTGGGGGGATTGTCGCGGTTTTGGCCCCTGAGAAGATACACGCCGATTGACAATCCCCAGACACGTTGATTAGCAATCGCGCGGAATGGGATACTGCAGGCAGTCGTGGATCCCCAGGCAAAAGGGATAGTAAAAACGTCGGACCCGGGGGGGTGAAGCAATTTCGAATCCGTGAAAACAGCCACGACCTGTTGCAGCCTACTGTCGTAGCCAGCTGTCGCCCACATGTTTTTCGTGGTCCAAATTGCTGTCCTGGTTGCCCACCAGAAATCCTGCCGCCAGAGCGGCCTCGTGGTGGTCTTGCATTTAATGCACTTCTGCCTCGGCCTTACACAGTGGATCCTAATTGAAACTGGACGGAGGCGATCAGGGGACTCAGGGAGCGGAGCGGATGAGCGGGAAACAAGACAACATCTCAAACGCGGAAGCACGTGTTTTCACATGGAAATCCTTGGAAATCCTCCTGGCAAAAGACCCAACCACGTGCAGTTGAGAGTGACGCACTTGTGAATATCGTCCTCGGTGGAACTTCCCATGGGGCTACGAAGCGTGTAAGGGGAGCGCAATACTGGGCGGGGGAGGCGCATATGACGACTGTCGCTGCGGGCTTCGGTGGAACTCCCTCTGGGGCAACGAGACATGGGAGGGGTGTGCCGTAATGGGCGGGGGAGACGCATGTGAGCACTGCCGCTGGGGCCTTCGGTGCTGTTCCCTATGGAGCCACAAAACGTATGAGGGGTGTGCCATAATGGGCGGGGGAAACGCATGCGAGCACTACCGCTGGGGCATTCGATGGAACCCCCTCTGGGGCCACGAAGCGTGTGAGGGCTGCGCCGTCATGGGCGGAAGAAGCGCATGTGAGCAAATCTGCTGGGGCATTCGGGGGAGATCCTTATGGGGCCACGATGCGTGTGAGGGGTGCGGCGGCATTGCCACGCGGAGGGCAGAGGCGAAGGCGAAGGCGAAGGCGAACGCCGGAGTCGTGCTCGCTCCTCTGGGGAGCCCGCCCGTGCTCATTAGTACATGGCGTGGAAGCCGTGGCCTCGACAAAGAAGATCACCAAAATAATCAAGCTTGTGAAACGTATGCCGGCTCGCAAGCGGCCCGGATCCATCGTAGGTCGTTCGTGTTGTTGCGCTCGCGTTATCGTGGTTGGGTGGCTGCCCTGTTCTGTTCCTCTACGGCCTCGCTGTCCAGACTGTGCAGGAAGCTGCGGAAATCGTCGTCCCACCGCTTTGGCTGTCCCCCTATGCTGCCGTCGTCCGCGCTGGCGCGTATTGAGATTCGGGTTCCATTCGAGCACTCTCCGGGTCCAGCGCGTCGTGGGATGGTGAGACACCGTATTCGCCCATGGCCATACCAATTTATAATGTGTATACAATACGTCTGGCATATCGTGCATGATCATGAGTGATTCCGCCCTCCGTGTGCTTCTGCGGATGCAGTCGGACCACAGCTCCAGGTCGTCATCCCCCCTGCTGATTGGCTGCGTGTCCTCGTCGTCGTTGCCTGCGCCTTGCAGATTGAGTGGGTTGGGAAGGTCGTTGCGTACGTCGGAGTCGGTGGAATCGTTGGAATCGTTAGAGTCGCGTGGATTGGTGGATCCCCTACTGTGGTGGTGGGTGTTGTTTTGGTCTGCTGCTGGGTCGTGGTGCGGTGTCGGTGCAGCTGTGCGTCTCCTCGGTGTCCCTATGATTATTCTGATCATGCGTCGTTGCGTTCGTCGTAGCTGCTGCTTGAGGGGCTCTGTCAGAGTCCAGGTTTCGGCGCCGTACGTCATAGTAGGGATGACTGTACCCTTGTAAAGTCGCAATCGATGTCTCAATGGGTAGTGTTTGCTGGTGAATTATTGTCAATGGCCGCTACATAATACACACCCACGCAGCTTGAATCCGGTGCTTGACTTCGGTCGCGGTGGCGTCGTGGAAGGTGATCGTCTGGCCTAAGTACTTGATGGTGCTGGTTCGTGGTACGATTTCGATGTCCATCCCTGTTACTGTAGCCGTTGCACACAATGTTCCATTCTACTTAGTTTGTCCTGTGTTTTTTGCAATCCGGTCGTTTCTGATTCTTCCACAATGGTGCTCCCGCTGCAGCGCCGCCCTCATTTCGGCGCTTCGCTCATTCTAACTCGTGCTCCCACTGCAGTGCTGGCCTCGTTCCCGCGCCTCTGGACGGCACTTGGCACTCGAAAGCGCAAAGCGCCCACATCGGGCAGGCACGGTTGCGGAGGACATGGAGCCGGCATTCCGGACAGGCCCTGTCCTCTCGTAGACGGGCGACCTACCCTCTAAGTCATCCGGAGCCATGCCACGGCATGCAATGCGATGCTGTGTTGTGCACCGCTGTGCGCTGCCATGCTTTGCGTTGCTATGCTTTGTGATGGCATGCTTCACTACGCAATGCCACGCCATGCTATGACATGCCATGCTGTGCCGTGCTCTCCTACGCCATGCTTTCCTATCCATCGTGTATCCCCTCGGGATCATTGCCCTGCACGACATCCGACTGCGCGAACACATAGGATATCTACGCCATGGTACGGGATGGAAGGGAGGGATCGGACGTCAGATGTGCAGCCAGCGCACCTAGCTTGACCCCTCCCCCTCTTTTGAGCCGCCTCTCATCCACTCACCGATCAAGATCGAAGGAAGACGCATGATGGATACAAAGAAACCAGCAAGCCGAGGGGGGCGGGGGCAGGGCGGGCGGTCCTTGCCTCCGCGTGCTTCCCCCTTCCCTCCACCCTCCCCCTCCCCCGGGGGTCGGGCACGATTCTTGTCAGGACTCCCGCGGCCAGGCGCTCCGACCTCGACTCCATGGATGGCCAGATGTTCCCGGACACCGGCTTCTTTCGGTTACTCCAAGGGGCGTGGCTTGCAAAGGGTGTGATTTCCAACAGGCACCGTGGGGTCAGGTCGGGCATGTCCCCCTACAGGCGGCTTTTGGGCGACAAATGAAATATACTCAAAATATTCCCCAAAAATTGAATATTCCTCCTGTAGAGGGACACGCCCGACTTGACCCTGGGGGGCACCCTGGGGGGCGGGCAAGGACCTCGACGGAGCTCCCCGCCGCGCCCTGAGATGGCCCGACGAGGACCGTGCCGTGCCCCCCTGGCCCCAACGGCGCCGATCGCAACCCACACCCCAACGTCACCATACAGCGGAGGCCGGTCCACAAGAAGCCTTCCACAAGAAACCCAACCCTGAGACCACAGGACGTCCATCGATTTTTGGTGTGGGAGCGCCGCGCTTTCCATCGCAAAACCATCGAAGCCCAAGAAACCCAGGGCACCCTGGAGACATGCAGGGTGTTTCTTGGCATGGGCCCCCACTGTACCCTTTGCAATCGCCGACTCTCCTCCCTCCTCTCCTCCAGCGAGGACCATCATAGGCCTCTGCCCCCCTGGTGGTGACCATCATAGGCTCCACCCCTCGGCAGCTGCCAAGACAGGGGGGGGGCTGGGGCCCCGCTCCCATCAGTGCACCAATCCACCGTGCCGCCAATAGGCACCGGAGGGGGGCCGAGACCCTCCCTACGACCCCTCGGCCAACGAAGACGGCCGTCTGCAGGGGTGCCAACGTACCTCCACAGCCATGAACATATGTACCTGAAAGCGTTAATTGCCACCGTCCAGTGTTTTCATCACCCTCCCTCTCCCTCCCTCCCTCCCGCCGTCCCCATCCCTCCCCATCGCCCTCGCGCCCTCTCTCCCTCCCTCCCTCCCTCCCTCCCCCTTCCTTCCCCCTGTCCCTCCCTCCCTCCCTACCCTCCGCTATCCCTGCCACCCGCCCCTCTCCCCCCCCCCCTTCCCCCTCCTTTCCTCTCTTCTTCCCTCACTCTCCTCCCTCCGTTTTTCCCTCCCTCTCCCCCATCTCTCCCTCCCTCCCTTCCTCCCTCCCTCCTTCCCTCCCTCCCTCCCTTCCGCCCCTCAGCGCGAAGCGGCACTTTTGCGCGGGCCGCACACGCCTTCCACCTCCTCGTCGGCCGACTCGCCCTCGTCGATGCCACCCCCGCGGTCGGCGAACTCGGCGCGGCGGGCGCAAGGGCAAGGTCGAGGAGGGGGGGGGGCGGGAAGGGCAGGAGGAGGGGGAAAAGGAGTAGTATAGTAGGAGTAGTTAGTAGTACAAGTAGTAGTAGTAGTAGTAGTAGTAAGTAGTAGTAGTAGTAGAGTAGTAGTGCTACGTAGTAGTAGTAGTAGTAGGTAGTAGTAATAGGTATAGTAAGTAGTAGCAGTATAGCAGGTAGCAGTAGCAGTAGCAGTACAGTAGTAGTAGTGAAGTAGTAGTCGTAGTGTAGTAGTATAGTAGTAAGTAGTAGGTAGTAGTAGTAGAAGTAGTAGTAGTAGTAGCTAGTAGTAGTAGTAGTAGTAAGTAGTAGTAGTAGTAGTAGTATAGTAGTAGTAGTAGAGGTATAGTAGTAGTAGAGTAGTAAGTAGTAAGTAGTAGTACAGTAGTAGTAGTAGTAGTAGTAAGTATAGTAGTAGTAGTAGTGTAAGTATAGTAGTAGTAGTAGTAGTATAGTAGTAGTAGTATAGTAGTAGTAGTAGTAGTAGTAGTAGTAGTAGTAGTCGTAGTAGTAGTAGTAGTAGTAGTAGTAGTAATAGTAGTAGTAGTATAAGTCGTATTAGTAGTAGGTAGTAGTAGTAGTATTAGTAGGAGTAATAGGTAGTTTCGTAGTAGTAGTAGTAGTATTAGTAGTGGTAGTATTAATAATAAATACTAGTAGTAGTACTACTATAAGTAATAGTATTAAGTATAGTAGTAGTAGTATTAGTAGTAGTAGATAGCAGCAGCAGCGCAGTAGTAGTAGTAGTAGTAAAGTAGTAGGAGTAGGAGTAGTAGTAGTAGTAGTAGTAGTAGTAGTAGTAGTAGGAGGAGGAGGAGGAGGAGGAGGAGGAGGAGGAGGAATCCTTTTTCCCCCCACCGCGGGCGCACCCGCAGTAGTCCGTAGTCAATATGTCCGCGAACAGGTAGCAGCGAGGGGAACAGAGAGAGAGAGGGTAAATCACCACAAAGAAAACCACACATACATATATTCATATCTATATATATATGTGTATATATCTATGTATAGGTACAAATACACATATATACACGTACATATAGAGAGAGGGGGAGACAAGGGGAGAGAAAGAGGGAGGAAAACCAAACAAAAGGGAGAGGGAGAGAGAGAGTGAGAAAGAGAAGGAGAGAGAAAGAGAGAGAGAGAGAGAGACAAAGAGAGAGAGAGAGAACAAACATAAGTACATAAAGAGGGAGAGATATGGAGAAAGAGAGAGAGAGAGAGAGAGAGAAAGAGAGAGAGAGAGAGAGAAAGAGAGAGAGATATTCACACAAACATATATATATATAGAGAGAGAGGGAGAGAGAGAGAGAGAGGGAGAGAGAGAAAACACACAAAAGAGATAAACATAGAGAGAGAGAGAGAGACAGGAAGAGAGAGAAAGAGAGAGAGAGAGAGAGAAAGAGAGATAACAAAAAAAAGAGAAGCAGCTGCAGGACAGGAAAATGGGGGGGCAGAGTCCCTGCTCCGCAAGTGGGGGTCAACAAATCCACCTCCATAGTAACCACCCCGACACGCGAAGTCCTTTAGTAAGCGCACCCAAAAAAGCCAACGCCCAGGCCCGTTTAGTAAACGCACCCAAAGATGCAAACGCCCAGGGCAAGGCTGTTTAGTAAACGCCCAAGGCCGTTTCGCAAGCGCCAATTGTCCGGTCCGCGTTTGAACAAGGGGGGCGCCTGCGCTCGCCGCCTCCGCGCGCGTCTGGGGCGGGGGGCCCGCGCAGGGGCCCGGCTGCAATGCGGGCCCTGCCCCCTCAGAGAGGCGCGCGGGGCACCTCGTCGACGGGCGCGGGGCGGGCGCGGCGGCGGGGCAGGGGGGGCGCTCGCCGCTCGCCGCTCGCCCCCAAACCGACCCGCCCACGGCCGGAAGGGCCCCGGCCAGCGTCGCGCCGCGGCAGGTAGCGCCAGCGGCGCCGCGGAGCAGCGGCGGAGGGGCGCGCGGGAGAGGGCGCGCAGCAGCAGCAACGGCGACGCCAGCAACAGCAGCGGGGGGGCCGCACAGGGGGCACAGGAGCGAAGACAAACGCGAGGCCCCCAATTTCGCGCCACCCCACAGCTGGGCAGGGGAGGCAGCGGCAGGGGCGGGCAAGGAGAAGGACTTGCAGCGGGGATCCCAGATCCGGACAACCACGAGACATTACTTCACCGAGCTCAATGCGCTCAAGGACAAACACAGAAAACAAAATATACAAGCACAACGACACAAGGAACGGGGCTGAACGCAGCCCACCCGGCACCGAGGGCAAGTGAACAGGGGCGCTGATGCAAAGGCCCGCGGAAGAGGCAGGGAGCAACGCCCGGGGCGCAGCGAGAGGGCCGAAACGAGAAACAAGAAGAGAGGGCGCCGCCGAAGGCCAGGGGGCACGACGCAAATAAAACGAATGCCTGGGGGCGGCGGGTCGTCGGAGCGGCCGTTGCTGCCCTCGTTCTCCCGGGGGCCCGCGCTGGCCGCTGCGCGTCCGCGCGTCGCCTCCATGGCGAGAGGGAAACAGCGATTCCAAGACCAATAGCCTACTTCGAGAAGGCTACATCGCGGGGCCAGGGCCCGCAAGAAACAAGATCCTGGGGCCCCATGGACAGGGGCGGTCGCGGAGAACCGTGGCAAATTATCACGCCGCCTTGCGCAAATCCTCGAGGAGGAAGTGCCATGCCTAGGCGGCGGCGGGCGCGCGCGTCTTCAGGAAGGCATCGGGAACGGCGCCGGCCGCGACGTCGCGATCCAGCGCCCACGCAGGCCCCAGCAGAACGGGAGCAGGACCAAGAACCGTCGTCACGCAAGAGCCCCCTCCACTGTCTTGGCAGGTTCTGAACGCCCGGGGCCCAAGGGGGCGCTGGAGATCTGAACGCAGGGAAGCGTTTGCAATGGTGGAAGTCGTCGGGCCCCCCGCGGCGGAAACAGCGCCTCCTGTCCTCGCTCCACGGGAAGGAATCCCGAGAACGCCGGCGGGAAAGGGGGGCGCGCGAGGCCTTTTCAAAAGCCCTGAACCGCGACCGAAGGCGAAATGCTGGCATCCCAACTTCCATGGGCCATCGCCCAATGCGAACCTGCAGGTGGACCCAGGGAGTCATCGGCGCCGGAAGCCCTAGAAGATATTCGCGCGCCCTACGCTGGGCATTCCCGCCCGCCCGCTTCATTTCGGGAGAGAGAAGGTTCGCGGCATCCCCATTCGCGCATCTAATTAACGAGTTCCTCCGCCAAGGGAAAAGCTGCCGACCAAGACGGACCTCGTCATCACGCGCACCACTAATGAGCTGCTATTGATCGTGCGAAACCCAAGCAATCGCTGTACATTTGACCTAGACGCGACCTCGTCGCCTTCGACATGAATGGCAAGCCCGAAAATTTAAATGACCCCCCAGACCTCGACGCTGACTAAGCATGCAATGGCTCAGCGCGTGCCTAGGGCCCACCGTCAAGACCACCGCCTCCCGATATGGTCTACCGACCTCTGGGGCACCCTGAACTCGTGGAGGCCGATATTGCAATGCCGATAGGCAGTTCGAATGGAGAAGCCGAATCGTCGTCGGCACTCCCAAAAAAGGATGCCGAAAGTGTCGCGCGCTCTGCCGGGAATCGACCGAGACCCCCTGCCGTTCCACGGCGCGGGCCATTGGCCCAACCCAGAACCCGGAGCATAATGCGTGGGTCTCGAATTTCATAGCCTGGAACCGACCCCCTTACCCCCCGCGCGCCAAGACAGACGCTCGCTATATAGCGCGCCGTGCACGCGCGCGCAGCATTTGCCGATGCTCAGCGAGATACCGATGGCAGATGATAACAAGCCCAACAGTAGAAGCACAGGCATCATATCAACAATGCTATTCTGCAGACCAAAGCAGCAATTCTCAGCGCGCGCAAGCACCAGACCCAGCCTGGGCGCGCGCTGGTTCTTGATCCATCTGAGAACTGGGCCGATCGCTCGAGAGAAGAAGGCCATCGGCGGCGGGTCTCCACGCCTGACTCCATGCGCGACCGGGGGCCTGATCTCCGCCGTTTGAGCGAAATTAACCGCTGCAAAGGCGCTCCAATAAAGTGGGACATAGAAACCAATCGCCGCCTGCGGGGCGCCCGCGGCCCGGGGGGCTTGGGAAATCCGCGCCGAGAAAATCGACGGGCATGCCGCCCGACAAATCAACGCATGAGATGCCAACTTTATCAACTTCCCGCATCTACTGACAAAGCCGCCATTCCTCCACCATATCATGATCCGTTATCTTGCGGCCTTTAACGCCCCCGCGCGGCTGCCTCATTACCGCCCGCGGCGTTGCCCCCATTCAGACCAACGCAGATCGCGCCCGAGAGGGCAATGCAAAGCGCTCCCGAGAGGATCTCGGCATCCGCGCTGGAGAGAGACAGGGGGCGGGTCGAGCCGGGCAGCCTCGAGACAGGGGCGCCCGGATCGGCGGGCTCTTCCCCCTTCGGTGAGGAAGCCTTTCTACTGATCCTACGGCGCCCAGGAAGAGCAGCGCATTCGCCATCATGCGCCGCTTCGCGAACGTAGACCAAAACATCAGCGGCCTCAGGGGCCGCCCGACAACTGCGCGGGATACCATCGGGACCTGGAGCAGAGCGTCGCTAGGAACGCGCGTGCTTTTTCGCGTTCGCCCTGATCCAGGCGCCAGAAGGGTTCGCGAGGCAGCCAGCCAATCGACTGCACGCGAAAAAAGATCGCAGGCCAGCGCTGTTCATCGCGATGGGGCGCGGGCGAGAACTTTTCCCCGGTGGGGGGCCAGCGCGCGGGCCGCGTCGCCGGGGTTCGAGCGGGGGGGGGCTCTCGCCCGGCACCCCCCTCAATCCAATGCGACGTCCCAGCAGTGCCCAGCTTCTCTTCAGAGCCAGCAGACGCTTCTTTCACTTGCCCTTACCCGCCTCAGTTCCCCTGTCCCGCCCCGCTTTCTCCAGCCCCCCCTCAAACCATCCGTTCTGCGCAGCGACGATCAGAGAGCGCAGGCCGTCGGGGCC